GCTACGATGCCGGAGTGGAGATCAACAACTTTACAACTCTACGATTCTACGATGCCGGAGCGGAGAAAACAACAACATTTCCCAGTACAATACATTCAGGGTGTTGTTTTTCACACAGGCAGATTGTGTTTCTAACCTCGAGACACCATCACCACGTCGATGATGTCTCGGTGCCATCAATGGCGGAAAAACACCACCCGGCAGGAAAGAGGGGTGGCCCGCCCGCTCTTTTTTAATGGTCTTGGGACTGGAGATTTATAAATAATTAGTATAGTACATGTATTGTAGGCCCATGTATTATTTCTATATTTTAATAAGCATATATTTTTATAAGCATGTATTTGTATACTTTTGAATATTGTGACGTAAAGTGTTGTTATTTTCTTAGGGCACAGGACCAGTGCTCAGGACCAGGGCTCACCCGGCTCCAGCTCTTCTGCATTATGAGCATGAGCAGGGCAGGAAGCTCTTCGTGGGTGGATTAAACCCAAAAACCACCGAGGCAGGCCTGGCGGCCCATTTCTCGCAATGGGGGAAAATAATAAGATCGGAGGTCATTCACGACGCGGCGACGAAGCGGTCGCGCGGCTTTGGCTTCGTGACGTACGAGAAGGCGTCCCAGCTGGAGGAGGCCCAGCAGAGCCGGCCGCACTTCTTCGATAGAATGAAAGTTACAACGAAGCGCGCCGTGCCGCGCGAGGTACGTGAAATTCACGACGATTCGTGCGCGTGAGAGACTGCAAGCCTCGGTCTAGCATTGCTCCACTCGCGAACCGGGACCTGTCACTCGATGAAATGACTATAGCTTTCAAGGGACGAAGCTCCATCAAGCAATATAATGCTAAGAAACCTGATAAATCTGCATCAAATAAATTGTGCAATGGAAGAGCTGCCAAAACTGGACCGAGCCAGATTCCTGGAGTGGGTTCTACTGATGTGGATTTAAACCCTTGAGTCCAGTACAAAATAAAGAGATCGAGATGATAAACACCGGAAACAAGAGTGCAGCCATTAGCCGAACAATAACAAAACACCGCCTGAATTTAGTAACTAGTTATACTAGAATATCCAGTATTTTTAAGGTAACATTACTCTAACATTAATAGTTAGCATAACTATAAGCACTGTGTCTACTCTATTTCTAACACAGGCCAACTACGTCTTGTTTGCTGTGTTACCCGGCGCTTTTCGCCTCAAATGCTAGGAAGCATACAACCAAAATAAAAGTCATGTTCTTCCCTGCTGTAACATATGTTTTACAAATGTTTACATGAAGTAGTTCGTCTAGGGGTTGTTTTAGTAATAGTCTATCTAGACGCAGCGTCGCGCATTTTGTGTGGCCGCATTGATGTTACAGGGAATTGGATAAGCGTACGTGTTTTAGGTTAAAAGCAGATTCTCGAGTCATTGTGAAATAGGGTTGCAGATCGAGTGTAGACATGGCGGGGGTTTTGGGGGAGACAGAGATGTAGGAGGGAGGAGTCTGGTGGTGGTCGCGAGAGTAAGCATGCACACGCGCTTACATGCGCGTTTCTTTGTCTCTCTGTGCAAGATGTGACTATATACACTGTGTGACAGATAATAAAGTTTATTCCGGTTACTACACAAGTTTGGATTTCAGACTTCCGGTTATGGCGGCAGAGTAACAAGACGTGTGGTCAGGTGGCTCCCGCTTATATTCTATATTATAACTGAAAAAGCTAAAAGTGCGAGCATACTATGAGTAAAAAAGGCGGCGGAAAGGCAAAGGATACAATAACTAAATTTCTAACACCGAGGTATACCCGTTCGACGGCCAAAAACGTGACGGGAGAAATTGAGACCGCGCCGTCCCATGAGCAGGAAAGCATGGCCGACAAAGCTAGCGAGATCACCAATGGAGACCTACATAAGCTACTGACGGACATATGAGGGCAGAGATGAATTCTCGAATGGAGTCTGGCTTTACTGATCTGAAATTTAAAGTAGACAGTCTCACTACCAAGTTGGAAGGGTTGGAGATGGACACTGCGGAAGTCAAAGCTGACCAACAAAAGGACCGCGAAGAAATCGGCATTCTGAAAAAAAACATGGCCGAACTCCAGTGTTGATGCCTGAGAGCATCTTGTTTGTTTAGTTCCCCTGCCTTCCGTCAGGTGACAGCACGTATTTGATTAGTTAAGGTAATGCGAAATGGAGGATAGGACAAGGAGAAATGTTTTTCTTTGTCCTTATCCAAATGTAATTTTCCCGCAATATAACAGACCACAAAAAGTCCTGCAAGTATTCTAGAGTATAAGCGTTATGGTTAATCCTTTAGGCAAATTTGGTTGTAAGATACCCTGCACTGTTAGTAAGCAACTTTTTATCGAGTTAACGTGCAAATTCTCGAGATCAAGAATTCCTTTGTTGTATGAAGCATGTAACTATGTAGCCCTGGGGGCCATTATCCTTTCGGTTTAGAAGTGAATGTTATGTTATACCCACGCCCTTATAATCCGGCGCCTCGTTCTTCTAGCCATCTTGTTCTGAATGATGTCTATAGTTTACAATTGTCTTATGATTCTTGTATTTTGTATCATTTTCAGTTAATCGCACACACACGCTCATGAGCACGCGTTTATAATAAATAAAGAAGGCGCATCTTCGGACATACATGTGGAATTTCGAACTTTGTAGTTAAAAGCCAGGACGGGAGATTATATTAAATTAAAGGACTTTGTTTTCCTTCTACGATACTAAGGCAACATGAACAACGGGGAAGAACAGGAACAGGACAACCAACCCCAAGGGGGTAGTTCACAGGAGGATGGAGCTACTAACCAAGGGGGAGGAGACACCCGTGATAGGAAAATGACTGCCAAAGGATCGGAGTTCATAAAGGAGACAAGGTTAAAAAATTGCACAGGTCAAATTAAACGAATGAATAAGCTGCAGGATTCAATCGACGCACTGATACGAGAGGGGGAGGAGATTGGGCTCGTCAGAGAGCAATACTCGCAATGGCTCCAACTCTATGAGGTCTTCTGTGACGACCACATAACCTACTCAGACGTGTTATCGGAGGAAGGAAAGGAGACGGATTACTGGTCGATGTACAGGGAACAGGACGACAGGTGTCATGGATTCAAAAAGAGGACTCAAGACTGGCTCATGGCGGAGGAATCGAGGAACACCCGAGGAAAGGGTAGCGTCTCGTCTATATCGTCTATGTCGCCCATGGCTGCAAAGCAGGCTAAGGAAGCTCTAAGAATCGCTGAGTTGTCCGTCCGTAAGGCCGCTCTCACAAAAAGGCAAGCGCTGGCCCAAGAAAAGCTCCAACTTCAACTTCAGGAGGAAGAACTCGAGTTCGAAATGGAGATGGCCGCAGCTAGTGCGAAAGTTAAGGCTTTAGACATGGCGATGCTGGAGGATCAAAGGCAAGAAGAAGATCAGAGTCAGGCAAGTTATACACCACGTATGGCGATGGTGGAGGATCAAAGTCAATGCAATGTGAAGCCACCAGATCGATCAGATTTAGTCGTAACAAGTGTTCGAAGACAGGATCGACGCAACGAGCTGAAGGATATCAGAGGGGATCTATGACTCGACGCCACAGCCCAAGCGTTTCAGCCAACGCATGCTACGTACGATCGAGACATTGCATATCAGCCACACCTAAAGTCCTCACCACCCGAAGAAGCAATGATAGCCATGGTTCGGGAAATCGAAAACTGCAGTCTGATATCAAGAAATTTGCAGGCGATCCACTCGAATACAGAAGGTTTATCAGACAATTCGACGTCGGACGATCAAAGGATGAACTTTCTCGAACAGTTTACCGTGGGTGAAGCGCATGGTAGAATTAGAGGAGAGATATGGCCAGTCAGATAGAACTGCCAATGCCTACATAAAGAGGGCGCTGAGCTGGCCCAACATTAGAGTCGATAGCCCAAAGGACCTCGATGACTTCGGAATCTTCCTTGCCGAATGCGGCAATGCAGTGGATAGCATGGACGCTCTGAAGATCTTAGAGTATCCCGACAACCTCATGAAATTGGTGGGAAAGCTACCGTTCTACCTTCACGACCGGTGGAGGAACATCGTCTACAGCAATAGGGAAAAGGGGATGACTGTAGGGTTCAACGAACTATGCAAGTTCGTTAAGAAGGAGGCCGCCAAGAGCAATGATCCAATCTATGGGCGCGATGCCATGGTCAAAAGAGATAGCGGCAGTAGCATTCAGAGCCAACAGAAGACGAGGGAAAGGCACGCCCGAGGAAAGGGTACCTTCGCCACTGTCGGCAGCCATTCCGACGCGGCAAGACTAAGTTCTAGTCCCGGCCAGGGCAAACGAGAATTCAGCTGCATCAACTGTGGAAATCCCAAGCATGGAGTCGATACCTGCGAAAGTTTCAAGGCTCTCTCAGTAGAAGACAGGTTCGAAATCGTCAAGACCAAGGGGGTTTGTTTCGGATGCCTCAAGTCTGGTCATAGGAGTCGAGACTGCCACCATAGAGCCACGTGCAAGACGTGCGAGCAGCGCCATCCTACACTCTTACATTGAGAGACGCATGACTGCAAAGGAGGAGCCCGGAGCTACGTCAGCCACGTTGGCCAGCTGCTCGTCAGATCTATCTTGTCGCACAGGGGCCGGCGAAAGCTTATGCACCATGGCAATCGTTCCGGTAGTCGTAAGATCGAAGAAGACTGGGAGGGCGATCGAAACGTACGCCTTCCTTGACCCAGGGAGCAGCATATCATTTTGCACCGACAATCTAAGACAGCAACTGGGCATCGGAGGCCGCAAGGCAAAGATTACACTGAACACAATGGGAGCCCAGCATACCATAGCAACATATGTCCTGACAGGCTTGGAAGTAGGATCCCTTGACGGACAGCACTCGGTGGATCTACCCTGAGTCTACACCAAGGAGATTATGCCGGTGAGGAGAAAACACATACCAACGAAGGAAGACTTCCAAAAGTGGGAACACCTACAAGACTTGCCGTTACCTCAAGTTGAAGGAGAAATCGGCTTGCTTATCGGAAACGCGGTAGCGGACGCCTTCACGCCGTACGAGACCATTACCGGTCCACGGGGTAGCCCCCATGCCGTGAGAACCGCCATAGGCTGGATCGTCTGGAATGTCGTCCGTCACAATGGAAGCGAAATCAGTAGCAGAAGACCAGTCAATAGAGCAGAGCTTGCAGCAATACAAGACATGGAACAGGTCGGAAGAATGATGGCGAGGACGCTCGTGTACGACTTCCCGGAGCAGTTTGACGAGGACCGGCTTGAACCAAGCCAAGAAGACAAGCTGTTCATTAAGTTGACTTCCGAGACAACACGTTTTCACGAGGGTCACTACGAGGTTGGACTTCCGATAAGGGATGATGGAAGGAAGCTCCCCGACAACAGGAACCCAACCATGAACCGATTACAAGGGCTGCGGAAAAAGCTGAAGGGAAACCCAAAGTTCTACAAGGACTACAAGAACTTCATGACGGATATGATGGAAAAAGGCTACGCGGAAACCCCGGATGAAGTTATGAGTCGAAAGGATGGACGGGTGTGGTACATCCCACATCACGGCGTGTACCACCCCAAGAAGCCTGACAAGATCCGCGTAGTCTTCGACTGCTCATCAAAATTCTTTGGCGTCTGTTTAAACGACATACTACTGCAAGGACCTGATCTAGCGAACAGCCTCGTCGGCGTACTTCTGAGATTCCATCAAGACCCAGTAGCCTTCATGGCGGACATAAAAGCCATTTCCACCAGGTCAGAGTTTCCACCAGCGACAGGGACTACCTCCGATTTTACTGGTGGCCTAACGGAGATGTGGAGAAAGAACCTGCGGAGTACAGAATGACTGTACATCTGTTTGGAGCAGCGTCGTCGCCCAGCTGCGCAAACCTAGCGCTTAAGAAAACTGCAACGGATAGTCGTGATGAGTACAATTCAACCGTCACGAATACAGTCGTTAGGAACTTCTACGTCGACGACTGTCTCAAGTTTGTCTCCGAGGAGGACGAAGCTATGATCCTTGCACACAGTCTGAGGAAACTGCTGAAAGATAGAGGATGGAAACTGACGAAGTTCGTGAACACTAGCCAGAAGCTCTTGGAGTCGATATCTCCCGAGGAAAGAGCAAAGGAAATAAGGGAATTGGATTTCGATAGAGAAACCCTACCAGCCGAGAGGGCTCTCGGAGTGTATTGGACAGTAGAAGAAGACACTCTGGGGTTCAGGACAGATGTCACAAAAATATTACTCAATAGCTCAGAAGCTCAGCTGCAGGTCCATCAATAACCCCGACAATCTACTCCTTATACAAGGCGCCTAAAGGCTGTACAGTTCTATAAGATATTCAATAATAATTCAAATAATATTACACATTATTAGCTGAGATAAATGGTGCAGAGATTTAAATATTGCCTTGAATACTGAAGAATGGAAACATTTCTATCTATTGCCATTCCAAACCTCAATCGATACCAACCTGAGATACTTCCAATACAGAATCCTTCATAGAATCCTTACTACAAATCACTTCTTATTTATCATAAAGATCGTAGATGATGATCTATGTTCCTTTTGTAAAAGTGCAAGTGAATCACTTGTCCATTTATTTACAGAATGTTCTTGTGTAACTGATGTTTGGATAGAACTGCATGCTTGGTTGGTTAGAAATGGTTTTACACAATTACATAGGTTTACAAACACCGACATTATCCTTGGTGTTTTGAATACTGACATCATACTCAATTTGAGTATACAAATAGCAAAGTTATCTATTTACAAAAGCAAGTTGAACAATTCGAGACCAACCTTTGCTGCAGTTAAGGCCAACATCAAACACATTATGATCAACGAAAAATATATTTCACAAACAAACAACAACATGGACAAATTTTACGGCAAGTGGGCCTCTTTATTCCACAGCCTTGGACAATAACCACAAAATATGTGTGAATACAGAAATTTCAATATATATGTATGTTTATATACATGTAATATGATCCCTATTGTTCGAGATTGTGATATATGTATATGTGATGTGTTACAGTGTACACATGTTACCTGTTTATTCTGTAAAAGCCGGAAATAAAGAAACTATAAAAAAAAGGTTTGGATTTCTTCTATATCATTTATTCATACACAACAAACATACTTCAACGTTACACTGCCACAGAGGTAGAAGCAAGGAAGGAGAGTCTAGCATGGCTCACTCTGGCGTGAGTGCTTGGAGTGTTTGAAGCGACCACGTAAAGACTCTCTTTATACAACACTGTTCCTTTGTGTTGTAATCACTGACAACACTAGCTAGTACATGTACTACGACTTCAGTACGAAATCGTTTGACACTACATTCACATGGTCAGAGGTGTACGACGATATAACGAGAGGCGATGACAAACTGTTATTGAGAAAGAATGATGTATTGTCCGTCGAAGTGACGAACAAACTCACAGACAGGCGCATGCAGTAATACATATCATCCTGATATTGTTTTTGTACAGATGGGACTTGGGGCTTTGTAATGTAAAATATTGTGACTTTGTCCGCTGGACAACCGTTTAACAAAACAACATCGAAAAAAATCAAAAAACCAACAAAGCGCAACAAATAATATTTATTATACACTATATGCGTGTGTGCATGTCTGTGAGAGAGAGATATAGATGCTACCAGACCTAGTGCAGCCTTTGCAATAGTAGCATGCGTAAATATTTGTTTCAGACTTATTCCGCAAATATAAGTAGCAAGGTAACTTATGCTTTTAACCTTATATAGTATGTAAATAGGCCTACCTTTGATGAAATGCTGACTACAAAGTCGACTGTGTTCTTTTGGATTCCACAATTTATCGCTTCTCGCGCTGTCATTCTCTACATGTCGAATAGCCCAAATCTGCTTCTCTCGGCGTTCTCTGTCCGCAGACGGTATCCTGTAAAATTTAACATTGGACCCGCTCACTAATCTGTTTGTACACCCTGGGGACACCCTGGGGGCACAACAAGAAGATGGTATTATTATAATCTATTTGAGTGGACTGAAGCGTATTGTAAAATCTATTGTTAACGTGTAGGGCACACGGCAGAAATGATATTTTGGCCTACGCTTTACAGAGCTTACGCACACCGATGGATTCTGGGATAGTCCAAACCTGGCAACCCACCGCGTTTTAAACAGCAGGGGCCGGTTTCACGAAGCGTACTTAACTTAAGTATGATTAAATCACTAATCATACTTAACTTCCCATAATTATGATTAGTTAATCATACTTAAAAATCTGTTTCACGAAGTACGAGAAGTTAATCATGATTAGTGATTTAATCACGATTCAATACTTAAGTAGGCTTCGTGAAACCGGCCCCAGGTCGATAGCCCTTCGCTCCGCCACAGGCCTGTGTCAGAGCAATGGCTATAGTTGCAGAGCTAGGTACACGATTGATTCAACGTGACGATACGGGTCGCGACTGATAACTCGACAGCCACGGAAATTAAAAAAATATATATTTCTCACCAGGTGCGCAACTTCTTTCTTTCATCTTAAATATAAGCATATTTAAAATATATTTAATTTAAAATGTATACTATCAAAGGCATACAGCGAATTTTTATTAGCTAAGTTATTTTTAAGTTTAGGAATTCCCCTCATGGGACTCCCCTGGGATATCCCAAAATCCATAATGAGGCTCTTCACGACAATGTGCTCACCACATCTTCACGTTCGGTTCAGTTTGACGCCGAAAACTTTGTAGCTGAGTTAATACAATTTAATATACCTTTATCTCCTGCACTTAAGGTAGGTTTTCCGATATATCAATATGCCTGTTTCATGAATAACAATCATAGTTCGTAGGCCTACACAAACACAGTCACCATGTTTGCCCAGTCAATAAATGGCATTAATCCTGCCGATTGTCACCAATTCCTGCATGAATTATGTATTGTTGGCAAAACATGTTAAACCCCCAGACAGCCCCACAGACAGTGATTATCAACTGCTGACCAGAAAGCTCCTGAAATTATTAACTGCTGACCAAACAAACTGCTGATATTGGGGATTTCAATTCTAATATCAATTCTTACAAACTGCTGATATAATTATAATATAATTCGATATTAAGCATAAAATAAAAAAATCGCTGTTTACGGTTCCAAATCAATTTTTTTAAAGGGTAGGTCGGTAGGTAAAAAAACATTTTTTTACCTAAAAATTTCTTTTAAAGTCAAAAACAACAAAACTATCATTCAATGTGTTCATTTTCTAGAACTTTAAACCCCGATACATATTTTGATGGAAAAATGATAGAAAAATATTGTTTAGGAAGACTAATTTCTATTTCTCGACTTTATTTAGGATCTTGTTCTAAAATAAATCCATCTTCCATCTTCCATTTCAATTGCAGAGTCCCTATCCCCCTTTGCTATGCTATGACAATAAACAAAGCCCAAGGACAGAATTTCACTACCATAGGCTTGGACCTGACCACACCTGTCTTCTCACATGGCATGCTCTATGTTGCCCTCTCACGAGTAGGCAAACCCACGGCAATGTTCATTCACACACAAGGTGTGGTCAGGCCCAAGCTCATTGGTTAGTGATGCTCACGGGGTGCGCGGCATATGCTGTGAATTGCTAGAGCATGCATGGTTTAGCTGAGAAGAAGTACTTTGATGAAGTAAAATAGAATACCAAAAAGTTTATTTGTGAGATACTAGAGGTGATGACACTTAAATTTAAATTACAGAACTTCATGGTATCAACGTGGTGCCTGATTAGTGTAGTAAAACAGAGTCTGATTTCCCTTGAGCTTGGTTGTGAGTAGTTTTCCAATTGAAGGCTTATCTCAGCCTAAAGATTTAGCACGTAAGAAGTTCAACGTAAGTTGCCAATGCGAGAGGACGGGTTTTGGGAGAAAATCCAGCTTCTTGAAAGTGTTGACCTTACGCTTTTTGATGGTCTTGAAATGTTTGACCTTACGCTTTATTGCATGGTTATGTAGTTAAGCACATGCGAATATGGACACTGGGCAGTTGAAGTGTAAATGATTGCTGCTTGACATGCGGATGGAGCCTATAATATTATCCTGGTATTAATGTTCTTTGTCCACTGGGAGCGGGAGCGGTGATATTTCTGCGCATGCAAGAGTACGTGTTTGTGAAGTATATGGATTTTGGGTCTAGTAACCAATTGGCGAGTCATTCTCGGAATATTTAGATTGTTTCAGTGAATAGTTTCTAATGAGTTGTTTTCAGGCATTTTGAATATGGTTTTCGATGGCGCGGAGATTTTAACGGCGAACGTCCTTATTTGTTTTCTTTTTCATGTAATTGGCTCTGAGCTGTCTGGACATGAGTAACTTGAAACTGATCCTTCGGACGTGGGAATTCATGAATGATTGTATTAGTGGTTGTAGCACTCTCCTTAGGGATCAAGGGCCTTCTTTGCTAAACTATTTTTTAGGCTCATCTGACATAGTCAGATGCAGCTTGTAGAATCGCATGATCGTCAAGTGCGTAGCGTCCGTCCGAGGCGTCCGTCCTGTGCGTCCGTCAACAGTTGGGCAGAAAATCTTTAACCGCTCGACGGTACCGGTCACGATATTCGGGACGTGGGGGGGGGGTAATGCCGAACAACGAGTTGGATGTTGAAAGCTGGGTGGTCAAAGGTCAGAAGGTCAAGAGGTGTAAAGAAGGGGGAAACATTCACTCCTTAACATTAATGGTATAGGGAGAAATGCAGAATTGCGCGCCGGCACAATTCTAAACGGCTCGACCTAGGCTCATGATAGTCGGTGTATAGCATCATAGGTAGGAAAAGCATCCTGTGCGAAATTGAGAGGGTCCACAGCGTCAAAGCGTCAATGGCGGCAACAGGGACAGATTTTAAACATTTTCCTGAGGACATGGGTGTGATCGACGCGATTGAAAAACTTTTTTGTTGCAGCGGGTGACTACCTTTATTATGGCTTTATTGAAAGGACGCATGAAAATGTGCTTTCAACTGGATGTGCGAAGAGTAAGTGTCTGATAAACCTTTTGACCGGGCTCAAGAGCGAGGTCGTTAAACATGGATTTGTTGACTGTTAACAAGGAGTGAACTGCTTTTGCTGATTTAGAGCTGCCTCCTCCCCCCACCTCACTCCCCCCTCCCACCCTCCCCTGCTCTGCCATTTTGCCCTTCCGCCGCACCCCCTCCCCCACCCTCCCCCTACGCTCCATCTGCGATAGTGGCGCTGTCTCCTAACAATGATGCTGTTACCGCAACTGCGTGTCCTGCATATTCATGCCGCCTAACAAAATCGTGGTAACTCACGGCAACGATCTGACAATTTTTACGTTATAATCCGTAGCAACAGACCTCAGATGAGTAGCCCAGACGCTCTGCGGCCTCTATGTTGGGTCTTCCTGTCTNTAACCCTAACCCTAATCCTAACCCTAACCCTAATCCTAACCCTAACCATAACCCTAACCTATTATATTGATATAATATTATATTTATATTGATGTAAATGACATTGGTTTTATTGGGATACATGTTCTCTATCCTTGAACCAACATACCTCATATAAAAATATAAACATAATACTAAACAACCTAAAACTACCTCGGGTACATATCTGTAGTACGTGTTACGACAACGACCCTTCGTGCCCAAGTTGTGGCTGTGATGTCAATGTCTTGCCGATTTACACATCAGCAGATCGATTTACACATTACTTTATTAGCTTTTAAAATAACGCACAATGTCTGTCATCACGGTTAATCTTACTTTTTCATGATAACCGTTAATGGAGAAGTCATATCGAATATTGGTGTTTACAGGAATTTGTTACTTGCAACAATAATCTGAAAATAACAAACTATTTCCTATTTAAGAAGTTACATTTTGTAGCCTAATTCTCATTGTTGAAAATACACACCATTAAACTATCAAAATAAAGGCGATAGTATGGGAAATAAGATAGCAACTTACTCCAGTTCCATTATCACACACTACAACCTTCCTGCCTTGACTGTCCATCGCCGATGATACCGGATTTTTACCGGCTAACGAATGAAACCTTAACCGCTCCTACAGCAATATGGCCGTGGTCGTCTTCCTCCGGTTATCCGCCCATGACACGTGACGACTTCCGGACTTTCTAGCCAAATCCGCAGTATGATTGGCGGACAATTCACGCTTCAAACGAATAGCAACAGCTGTACCATTTTGATGAAATTGCTAGCAATATGTCTGCGTCCGTGCTGATACGAAATTCTATACAGTTGTCTACATTTCTATTTACATGTTTATGCGCAATTGTTTTCGTGCAGTTATCATCAGGGGAGTTATCGCAAGACGAAAGTTCTGAGACGAATGAACCTGTCAAAACATTTACGCATGATGAACTCGCTAAATATGATGGTTCTGATGTATGTTACAATGATTATGATGATGTAGTAAAGTAAAAGTGTACTACTACTAGTAATACTACTAGTATTACTTGTACTGTAACTTACTAGTACTACACCTTCCGCGTAGTATATGTTCACGCCCTCGTAACGTCGTAAGGAAACGTCCTCAAGGTCAAAGCGAGTTATCGAAGATGGAGTGGATGGCCAAAGTCCAAAAATTTGTCTGATTATTGCACATGTTGATGCCCCCCTAGATTTTGGAGGGGAATTTTTTTTTTCAAGAATTGTTCTACTAAAAGATAATTGTCGTAGTCAGAATGAAGGCTGTACATGTGCTCAAAAGTGCCTCAAAGTGCCTGTAATCTGCTATCTACATTAAAAAAAATTCTGTGGGAGGACCCCCAGACCCCCCACCCGTTTCTCACCCCCTCCTTGAAATCCTGGATCCGCAACTGGCCCCCCTAAGAATTTGCTCAGCCTACGGCCCTGTATAAAGTTGCCTCAGTTAGATTAAAACTCATAAAGTCCACATTTTCGACGTAGATTTAAAAATTTGATTTTCGCTGACATTGAGTTCATTTGTTATATTATGTGACATGTGGTTATTTGAAAAAGAAATTTTGAAGGTAGATGCATTTACACAAGAAAAAATACCCTTTTTCATGAAAGAATTGATGCCTATTGGTGTAAGGTGTGTTCCAGATGACCAAGCCAATTTACATGTCGGTACGAGGAGTTGTATTTGATGTTTCTGCAGGAAAAAGTAAGTGGTTTCCAAGCGTAACGTAAACGTAACGATAACACTATTAATTCACTTGATCAACTAACTTGATTTTTTATAGTTTATTTTAGGTCAAGATGGGCCAAGGCCGCCAAGCCCAGCAATTTTATATAAATAAGAAAAAGGGGACTAATGAGTATTGTTTATTAAAGCAATATGTTGCATACATGAGTTCATTTTAATCTCTGATATGACATCATGTAGTATTGCTAGCTCCAGGTCAATTCCATTTCAGTAAAAATTCACACCTGTGAAACGTAAAAGATAATACAAATTTCCTTTACCTCTTTTAATAGGTTTTTATGGGAAGGATGCGCCATATAATGCTCTAGTTGGCAAGGATGCAACACGTGGTGTGGCCAAAATGTCGCTTGAAGCAGAAGATTTAACAGCTGACTTGGTGAGTGTTGATTTAAAAGAAAATTCACTATACATGCATTCATGCATATATCTATCTATTGTAAATATTTTCATACAGTACTGGATATAACATATCAATTTAAACATTGTGAATAAACTTCAAGACTTACAGAAAAATTGGCCATTATTGTATGATTAATTATAAGTATTTCCGCTTTTTGCCTATAAAATAAATTTATATACTGATATTTATAATACATTTTTTTACACTTTTGCCTAATAATTTTTATATTAATATCCATAGACAGGATTAAGAGAGTCAGAACTGGAGTCACTAGAAAAAACATTCAAGGAAGTTTATTTAGCAAAGTATCCAGTTGTGGGCTATGTAAAAGACCTTCTGCTACGACCTCTACAGAAAGACAGGGTCAGTCTCATAGTCATCCCTATTAATCATCATGAATACAAAAACTTGAAAATACGAGATTACATTTAGTAGTAGCTGCTGTGTAAACAATTTGTGTAACCTAGATGAGCTATTTTGTGATTTATAATTGCATAAATATCAATTTTTTCATGTTTTTACATTTTTTGGTTACACAACATGAACCATGAGGTTAGGTTATACTAGTCTAACTTATGGTCATGTCATATCTAGAGGTTTATATTTATATTTGTATATTATGGTATTAGCTTTGAGACCTTTAAAGAGAGTTCTAGTTTGACCATCATTTGATGTTTCCATTTGTTCTCGACAAGACCTTAGCATAGTACATTGGAACATTTAAGAATAATTTACTTGCACCACTTCTATCAAGATGATATCGGTATATGATTACTAAAATCACAGACATGCTTTTTGTGAAATGAAACTAAATGTATATTATACTTCTCTATCCAGGGGAAAGAGTATGGGAATTTCATTGACGAAGATTTGGTCGATTCTATGAAGATGAAATACATAAGGAGAGCAGAGGGATTGGTAGGAGATGATGATGACGATGACAGCGACGGAGCATCGAGAGACGAGCTGTGACATAAGCAGCTCTGAAATTCATAGCTCAAAAATCTACTGTATGAATATAGTTCCCATGTAAACCAACAACAGGATATGAGGGCAACATGTCAGGCGTTGTTGGAACATTATGTAATTCATAGCTATGGTCACAAGTGCAGACGGAAAAGCATCCAGGTTAGCAGGAAATGTAGACGGTATTCCGGCCAGCGTGCACGTGGACAGGTGCACTTGAAGGCAGCTTAGTTTTCACCCGCTTACATACGAAGAGAAGCAATAAAAGTATAATCGTAAAAGTATGGAATGACAACATACATGTATATTATATATATAATAAAAAGAAAGTATTACAATAAGTGACAAATTCCATTCTACTAACACTTGGAACGATTTCTTAACGCGTCAGGTATTACACATTACATACATTATCTTTGGTATGTGGGTCTGTGTATACGTTTTTTTTAAACTGGGATGCCAGTTGAAATCTGTCTGTCCTTACTGTTTCAAAACATTTCAATAATGTATTGTAATATTTTTATAATAAATAAATGACCAAAAATTTAAAACATTTTAGTTATGTGTACAATTAAGGATATGCAGCAACTATGATCCTTGACAGTAAATGTAATTATTACTATTACCCTACGGTGGCATTACACATATTTATAAACAACAAAATAATAGCTACAAACTTTATTCAACATTATTACAGTACCACGAAATTTGATCAGTTTTTTTTTTTCAAGAAATTGTCAAAGTATTTACTATGAGAAATTTAACTTATAAGTTCTAAGAGACAAAATATGAAACGGATGCTATCTATTACATAGTGTAGGCCTAACATACATAATGGGGCACATTCCATATTTAATCTTCGTACTTACTAGAGTACTTGTAGTAAGTAAAGTGCTGGTGTCCATGATGATTATGAGTGCAAACATCCCCTCACCGACGTCACCGTACAAAGTAGCTGTTAACATGAACAAATGTTTATCCAATTTACATATTTGTAATGGAAATTAACATATAATGATAGCTGTTGCAGCTTGATGTAACCATTACTGATTGCAATTTATCTGTCTGATCAAATGCCTGTTAAAAATAAAACAAGTAATGCCTGCAACCCTAGTGCACGCCTCTAGGCTCTACAGCATGCCCACCGTGGTAGTCTCACCACAACCTCTCCTATAGCGCCACTCACAGAACCACTTCCTACATATGTCCACACATCAGTACCAACAGCTCCCTATGGCCCACTCCTGCTATTCTTTCCTACATATGACCCCACGTCAGTGCCAATACCTCCCTGTCGCCCACTCCTGCTATTCTTTCCTACATATGACCCCACGTCAGTGCCAATATACCTCCCTGTCGCCCACTCCTGCTATTCTTTCCTACATAACCCCACGTCAGTGCCAATACCTCCCTATGGCCCACTCCTGCTATTCTTCCCTACATAACCCCACGTCAGTGCCAATACCTCCCTATGGCCCCCTTCCTGTTTCGCTTTCTAATATATACAACTTAAGTCAGTGCCAACACCTCCCCTACAGTCCCGCTACTGCTACTATTTCCTGCATATTTCCCCATGACAGTGACAATGCATCACACTGTCTCACACCTTGTGCCATGTGGCGACTAATTCCTTGACACATGCTGGTACCAAATTGCTACACATGGCACCAAACATATCCCATGAAAAGCAGCTGCATGCCATCTCGTACTTACTCGACTATGGCAGTCAGCAGAGAATGAGAGGTGCGCCTCTGGCGTCGTCCGACCCGCACCTCATCGTAGCCAACACCTGGATCGAAAGCAACCAAGCAATTATTCAAACCAAGCGAGTAACCATTAGTTTTCAGTGGAATCCGATGTCCCTCTCTGTCATAAACATCGGTCACAACTGATGGGAGACACTTTCACTGTGTGGCTGGCACTGATGGTTGACCTGCTGGCTAGATAGATAACTGAATAAGCAGCAAGTGCAGACAGGCAATGAACACGTCGTAGTGTGGTTCATAAGATATGTACATGGACCTGAGAGAGAACACGAATATAGTCTTTGGCTCATCAGCCCGGCCAGTGGGTGTGGGTGGCATACGTGCATCTACCAAACTACACATAAAAAACCCCGATGTCGTGAGAGCCTAGTAACTAGAGAGCCTATTGTTGTCTGATGTAAATGTTTCGCCCTTTTGCTCAACTGTTCACCGAACCTATAGCAATATTTCCTTTTTGATCTATCATTTTATCGTTATCATGATCGAATGACAATCAATAGATCCACTACTTCCTTAGTTATAATTTATATTATCTTAAGGGAAGGGCTGGGTGCCTCAGGACCTATAGTTATGCTCTGAATCTGCCCCTAATCACCCTCTGTGAATTATACCACAGCAGTAGGCTCATTTAGCAGTAGCAATTAATGAATTAAAAGTAAGCAGTAGTAATTTAATTACAAAAAAGTTAATTCCCATATTCATGTAAAATATGTATACATATTTAGAATAATCCCAAGTAATTGTTATTGGAACTTGAGCAGTGGTAATGTAGTATGTTCAGTGGTGTTGTTAGGGGGGGGGGGCAAAGGGTGGCCATGGCCCGAATGTTGATCCGAAAGTAAAAATAAAAAAATAAAAAATAAGAATTGTTCTACTAAAAAGAGAATTGTCCTAGTCAGAATGAAGTCTGTACATGTACTCAAAAGTGCCTCAAATGCAATCTCCTGGGATCAACATTTTAAAAAATTTCTGGGGAGGACCCCCCGCCTGTTTTTCTCCCCCCTCCTTTTATATAGCTTGGTAGCAGAGAACAACGAACAAAAACGTGGCCTTTATGCATGGCGCCTGAAACAAAGATTGCAGAGCTGAGAGGTGGGGGAACGTAGGTTGTGGAGAGGGAGGCGGAGGAACTATTAAAATATTAAGTCATCCACCATTTTGCGCAGTTTGCTGTTTTTGGCCCCCCCCGTTAAAAAAATCTTGGCCACGCAACTGAGTATGTTATAAAATTCGACAGCCATTTACGTAACTGCATGAAATCTGAGGACAGCCACGCAAGTCGTGCACTGTACAGGATTAAAATTTAAAGGCAGATACATGTACACACATGAGCCACTGCAAGATGCAATTGCGAACGGACGTTACACATGCCTGCTGCTACACGTCACTACTCTCAGTCACCTGTTTAACTTTGCAACAGCAATTTAGGTAGGTGAACAAACCTAACAGATCAGGGCAGGGTCACACTGTCGATATGCCGGTGCAGCAACCTAGCATACAATTAAACTTCTAAAGCTTCACTGTAAGTGACACTGGCCTTTTTACTGTTATCCAACGACCATGAAAAATGGATTGCTGTATCAGGTGATTTCTGTCCGTTATTTTTTGGAATATAACTTATAGAGCATATCATTTGATATTGTTACTCATCTTCTTGCAAACAGATATGAATAGTACTTAAGCGCACATGAAAAGCATAGTGCTCGCCTTGCAATGGGCCAGGTTCAATAAGATCTTATTTTACATGCCGGATGCTACACCTCAATATGCACGTGTACACAGATATACCACGCATGTGTCATTTCATCAACAACCAGAGACTCTTGAATGCTGACGATGCAGATCCTATTTGCACTGACTCTGTTTGGATTCGGGATAACAACTACAACAGGTAAATGTTTATCTAGTAGGGTGAAACGACGACATCAAATATTGACATGCACATTGTTGAGTGTATGTAGTAGGTCAAGTACTTGCGAGCAAGTTAAGTGCAGTAATGTTATGTTTTCTTTTTATGTTAATCCCTACAACAATAACAGGATGATAAATATATTTCAATCTAATGCACATGGTACATCATTTACATGCATCATGGTACGGTGATATTTCCAAATAGGTCTAGAGAACCACAAGTGTTTAGTCGCATACTACTCGTTCAACAACGTCGACTTCCTAAATGATGACTCTGGAAATGGACGGCAGGGCATGGCAAGTGGCAATGTAAAGTTATACCCAAGAGGTCCAGACGCCCTCCCTGGTGGAGGGGCTGCATTATACTTCCAAGGCGGTGGCAAGGTGGAGGTTGATGCCTTCAGAAATTACCCATGGGGCTCAAAGTTCTCGATCAGCTTCTGGTTTAAGAGAACTGGTAATTGCTCTGCATGCTACGCAGTATGAACATATAATTACATTTAATTTGTGTGGATGAGACGCTACATTGAAAGCCCCACACTACCACAGCTAATGGAAGATGTAAACTTGAACTATATCATTATCATATGAGTATAATATATATAATATATGGCCATCACCTACACGTTTCAGGTGGATTTCACTCCTACCAGGGTCTAATTAGCAATGGATATCATAAATATGGCAGTTGGGAGGTACGTTTGGGCTCAGAATATGGTGGTCAGATGCTGGGTGGAGGTGTCATAACTAGGAATAATCCTGTAACGTGGAACTATGTCCATCTGATGGCTAAACGGAACGTCTGGCATCACGTAGTCATGACATACAATGGATCTGACACCTAGCGACTGGCCTGTACTGCTATCCACGATTTGTAAATTTAATACACACGTATCAATACATGTACAAACTGTTGCATATTGCATGGCCTCGCTAGCTCAACCTATTGGTGATAAAGTCTAGCTTATCATCACTTATAAGTACGTTACCAAGTTCACAGTGCAGCAGGTGTGTTAAAAAAAAAAATACAACTCTTTAGAGTGTTTTTCCTATTTTTATAGTGTCTCACACTTAAAACTACCTGTTCTCAGTAGAAATGAGAAAGGTCCTACGCACAATGACACACACACGTACGGCATATGCACGCACGCACGGCTGTGACACTGAGGACATGGTCGCTGTACAACTAATTCACACTAAATCGTTGCAGGTCGTAATAATTGCTGCCATGGAGACTTAGTTCCCAAGCCCACACCCTTGACTATTGGTAAGGTTGGAGCTGACTGGGCCACTCAGTACTTCGTGGGATTCATCGACGAGGTGCGGCTGTACTCATGTGCACTTAGTGCCGATGAGGTCGACACTCTGTACCACGCTTTCATGAAAATGTAACTATGCAGTCACCTTCTACCAACAGTGATTTTCGTGGCATCATATTGTGAAACCCTTATTGACTATAGTACGTATTAGAATTACTCTCGTGTATATTGCCATAAAGTTGGGATTAATTTTCGTGTAATTTCAACTTTGTCCATAATCCTAATTTCCCATTAAAATATGGGTGATGATGCTAAATGGTGAAGTTTAAAAAAGTTCATTCTGGCAAAATAAATTAATCTTGTGGAAGTTTACTGTTCAATATTTTAATACCACTATACAAATTTCAATGAGTTTCAGATCCTACAAAACCACGACCAAAGAAAAACCATTAATTCGTGCTTCTGTTCCAAATATCAGAGTAAACATTATGCTGCGTACGTCTGTGTGTGCGCGCGTGTGAGAGAGAGAGCAAGAAGAGAGGAGAGAGACAGGAAGAGAGACAGCGTGAGAAGGAGAGATAGAAAGGGACAGGGAGAGGGAGAGAGAGGGAGAGAGAGGGAGAGAGAGCGAGATCAGAGAGCTAAATAAGAATTGACATAACAGAGACCGAGCAGCCATGAGAGAGGAGAGAGAGAGAGAGAGAGAGAGAGAGAGAGATTGAACAGCCAATAGAAAAAATCCAAACTCTAAATACCTATTTAGGACTTTTGGATTTTTTAGAGTATATACACAGAATCAATGTACGCTTCCAATCGTCTTGTAGAATAAAACTTGGAACCATTTATATACGTTTGTAACTCTGTGACTCTTCTCTTTGTTAAGACTCTCTAGGCTGGCAGTTAGAGCCCATACACATGCCTATAGCGTATAATGTTTATGTTACGTAGGTCAGGGACGTTGTCCCAGCAGCCAGCAACTAATGCTGTTTATTATATTTACATAATATCAGGAGTGTCAGGGGCGGATTCAGACCGTATTTGCCGTATTGGGAAATACGGTCTAGATTTCAAAGTGCCCTACGAAATTTTGCGCTCACTGTTGGGTGGTGTGCCCTTTTTGGGCGATGTGCCATTTAAATCTGGAAAAACTGTCTAGCCTCAGCCCTGGAACCGGCCCTGGGTGTCACCATAGTGTCACGTAGTCCAGTAGCAGTGCACACGGAGCCCACTCGGCTGCAGGCAAAATATATATATCACCTCAAAATGAAAATTGATAACACCTCACGCTCAACTTTAGTTGGCATTCAAGAAGCGTGCGTGGGGTACATCCTTCCGATAAGAAGTGGGAAATATAGATCTATGTTACACTCCTGTAAATATAGATCTATATTACACTCCTGATAACATGTGAACAGTTCCAAGAAGTGCTCACGGATGTAGTATGTGATGTGATATGAAGTATGTACATTTCCCTCGAGGCTATAGGGCATAACACGCAAACTATAACTCAGTGAAAGTAAAATATCCTGTTTGGGAATATTGCGGTATTTTTGTCAGTATACAAACGGTCCAACCGGATCGTGTAAAATACACAGACAGACCTATATAAGGCAAGCAAGGCCGTACGCAGGAAATTTTCTGTAGGGGGGGGGAAGGTACTTCCCATGCCCCCTGTGCCCTAACGTTTTGCAATTTCACGTTTCTTTATTTATAGTGTAACATTTCTTTGATGATTTAAGATAACCTTTTGTCACATTTCTATTTTATTTCTAAAAGTGTACAGTATTTTTCCCATTAAAAGGCATACTCTGAAAATCTCTAGGGGGGCAACTGCCCCTGCTGACCCCTGCTGCGTACGGCCCTGAAGGCAAACCCAATCTCACTCGAACTACTCCAACAGTGTCCAACAATCAGGAAATCATAAAGTCGGGAGATCGGTCCACCATTTCAACATGTAAGTATATAGCTACTATGTCACTCGAACTGCACGAACTACCTTGATTATCCTCCGGACCCCCGCTACTCCTTATCCCTTTACCTCTCTCTTCATCTTAATCACGCTCTTTCTCTCTGCTTGTATATAGTAATCACCTAGCGCCAATACATGAAGAGTTGCAAGGAAGTCTATGTATGCGTGCGCGTGCCCCATCCGCCGGAAAAGCTAGATATTTGGTCATGAGAGCTGAACATTGCTCTAGATGTCAAACAACACGGGGGCGGCACGCAATAGTTTTCGCAGTAAATTACTCTGCCTAAACTTTACAGCAGCTGTGTAATGGATGATGAAATTTAATATTTATAATTACAGTTAGATACATGGTCTCTTTTTGGTATGAATCTGAATCGGGATTAACATTGCTTCGGCGTTTTGCAGGGCATTCTTAAACACACGGAGGATGATGGAATATCTTCTTCTGCTTATAATTCTAGTTACTGTCGCCGTTGCAGGTGAGCTATACACAATCTTACCAAGATTATCTAACCAACACACATTCGGTAGTGGGGAGAAGTTATATTCAGTAATGTTATTTCGATACGATATTCGAACACTCGCAGGCAAGAACGTAGTAAAAGTGAAGTACATGCATTCTAAAAAAATTCCAACACATTTGGACTACTTCGTTATATAAATCTATGCTATATGTTGCAGTATCTTTTCATTCCACTAAAAAATGGTCCGTTCACCAAGACATGGTTTAGGAAGTTAATTCAAACCTCAACATTATTATGTAATGTTGTAACAGCCGGATCAATGCGCGTATAATTTGAAGTTATAATTTGCCACATGCAGACCCATGTAAAGAGCAGCTGGATAGAATTGAAGGTAAAATAGATAGCCTGCTTTCCGGACTGCAAGAGATTCACACATGCAGCTGCAACACACCACAAACGTCATGTAAGTTATGTTTATCATTAAGTATTGGCTTTGAATAGATTTAGCATTGATTTATCATTTTCATTGCAGTGTATTCAAAGTCGGACATGCAGGAAATTTGTGTTCACATTACAACAGGCTGTAACTTCTACTGTCATCTAACAGTGGGACAACTGAAATACAAATGTTTTAAAATGTATTCATCTGAGAAGAATCAGAATGCCTAAAATTTATGAAGAAATTGGGTGCCATGTGTGACACCTAAACAAGCCACGTACTGTTGGTCTATAACGTTTTCATCATAACTACAATTGTCACGTATATAAATCACCAAATAGGTCTAGAGAACAGCGAGGCGTTGGTTGCATACTACTCGTTCAACGATGATGACACTCTAAATGACGACTCTGGTAATGGACGGAATGGCGTGGCAAGTGGAAATGTACAGCGATATTCAGGAGGCCCACAGGGGCTCCCTGGTGCAGGTGGTGCGTTGCACTTCCAAGGCAGTGGCAAGGTGGACGTCGATGCCTTCAGAAACTTCCAGTGGGGCTCAAAGTTCTCAGTCAGCGTTTGGTTCAGAAGAACTGGTAAATGCTCTTCTGATTATTTAAATTTCTAGAACTTGACATACAGTGGTAACTAATATTACTTGGTCCCTAGGTGTGCACGTACAGCCCGTTCACACGGATGCCAATCATGAAGACTCTGGCGCTAAGCTGTGTGCCTGCTACTTCACCTAACGTCAGCAGTAGCTAATTTATTTCCAGGCACACTTAAGAGCCTTTTAAGAGCATATATAGGCCTAATGATCGTGCAAGAATTATATGAGTTGCTGATTGAATGAGACTGCAAACGCTTACACACAGTTTTGAATGTTTCAGGCGGATTTGGCAACTACCAGGGTATAATTGGCAATGGCTATCATACTTCGGGCAGTTGGGAGGTGCGCATGGGGCGTGAAAATAATGGCCAAATGTTAGGTGGAGGAGTTGTAACTAGTGATAACCCTGTGACGTGGAACTACGTTAACCTAGTGGCTGAAAAGAACACGTGGCATCACGTAGTAATGACGTACAATGGATCCGACACCTCATTCTATCTGGACAACCAGAAGCAAGCAGGTACAACGTGTTTGCTTATAATTATATTCACTATGTTAATTCAAATAAAAATTCTCAAGAATTTCTCAAGCAACCATGCACTCGCTATTGGATGCTGTTTTCTAGCATATCACCGAATGTTTTCATGCTCAATAATTTGACTCAATTACCAGTAATTGCTACCAATATTCGGTTATCATTTTTCTACTTATAAATGCATCTAACCAAGATTGTATTACTTTTTTATGATGAAATTTTAGGAGCACATGATTGCTGCCATGGCGACATAATTCCAAAAAATACGCCGCTGACGATAGGAAAGGCTGGTGTGGGACATGGAGCAGAGTACTTTGTGGGATTCATCGACGAGGTGCGGCTGTACTCATGTGCACTTAGTGCCGATGAGGTCGACACTCTGTACGGTGCTTTCATCAATTCATAACCTGCCCAAGATGAACGGTACTTTAATCTTAGTATGGCTGCTTATCACCTGAAGTGTAAGCCATGATTGCAACTTGCTTTCGTAAACACATGCTGTAGGAGACTAGCTGAAGTGGACAACGAGACACTTTTGCTCAATCGCATAATTTTTACTCGACGGTAGCTGATGTACCGAAACAATGTGATAACATGTCTACTAAGATTTTAAAATACTAATAGAATTCATCATTGTAGGAACCAAGTTCTGCTTGACATTTTTTTGCTGCAGTAAAGTATATACAAGTAAATAATCGCTGTCTAATAATGTAGTGTGATGTTTCGACATTGTCATTATCGATCAAAGCAATTTTTCTGCCATAACAGAATTGAGGATTAGTAACAGTACAGTATGTCATTATGAAAAACTTTTATATTTTGAATCTCTCATTGTTCTTATAATATTTCCTCAAACCAGCTGACTTCAAAGCCTTCTGATTTTCATTTGATTCTAATTATCAAAGTTTGTTTGTATCATCATAAAAATTTTCTATTATGGACTCTTGTTAATATTAATACACTGATATTTACTACATATATGTCACATACTTGTAGAATGCTCTGTACATAGAGTGAAAAAGGCCCACCAAACTCTAATGTAATGTTTATCTTCTTGCATCTGATGTCAATTTTTTCTTGCACGAATGCAATACCAGCTTATTTCAAGATTTATGTGTGAGTTTTCAATTGCATTTATACCATTATTAATAATAAATCTGAATAAATATGAATAAGTATTTTGCCTCTCAGTGGCATCGATGTACCATCAAATTTTTACAATGTATAATGTAATTATTATATTCCAAGATATACACATAGTGTATAACCTCTCTAGAAATTCAAAATAAGGAAAATATACACCAAGCGTGGACCACTCTATACAGTTCAATGAACAGACATGGTATAGATCCACGAAGATGCATATAAACTTTGCCAACAAGTTTTTATCTGATGAAGATATATATATCTTCGTCAGATAAAAACTTGTTGGCAAAGTTGTGAGTTTAAGCTGTACTGTGCTATGGGTGCAGTGCTATACATTTGTGGAACACAGCCCACCCCAAGGGAAAAGAAGAATAACTAACCTCTTATGTAAGGTTCATCATTTGTCTTACCTTCATCATCTCCATATGAGGTTTCCTCATCTTCAGAGTGTGTTACAGCACCATACATTGGATTCTGAAAATTAAGAACCATCGTCGTAACTAACTAGGGCCATAAATCGACTGCTCATGCAGCTGCAGTGTCTGCTCCAGATTATCTACAACGTAATCTTACAGTTGCTACATTCTGACCTTTGGCATTAATTTCTACACCAAAGATGCATCCTTTTACCGTGATCCCAAACACCAAATACAAAGTAGAGTCCAGACCGTTGCAATTTGAACTTCAACCATGTGTTTCATTAACTCTGACTTACACACTAAATTAAAGAGTGAATCCACTTGTCTCGACCATTGACCACTGACCTCTAACTTTGACCTCACACCACCACTTCAATGGACTCTTGCAAATTCCTAGATGAGTTATCCAAACCATATAGAGTATTCTAACTTACAGCACTGTTATAAGCTATAATAGTCTACAAAGCCAACAGCGAAATGTGTTATCGCTAGTTAAATGTACTGTGCGGCCATAGGGGTAATACTTAACACGTTTCACTTTAATAATTCCGGCAAACGTTGATTTCTCATCTCACTCCCACATTACCCACTTCTAGCACTCATACTATGGAAACCTTCACTATCTTAAACCTGCCCACTGACTGCAAGATAAGCATGCTTTTCCTAACCTACAAGCTTGCCTGACTAGAGCCAGTTGATGTAAACATAACGAATGCACAGTAAAGTCTGCTAATTTTTCTTAATATTATACATACATTAACAAAACACTGCATAAAATGTGTAGCAATACATGGAAGCCATAATTGAGTATAGCCACAACAACTCACTGGAAAAGCACAAAGGAACTATATGAGGTTACCTCTAGGTCATCATCAAAGCCTTCTGGGTATAGGTAGGGCGATGTCTGCTCTCTCTGGTTCCTAATCTTTACCATTTCAACGTTGTAATAGCTTGCTGTCGAGTCCTAAAATAAAAGGGTTAATTTTCAAATTGAGAAGAATGCGTACTTACGCGATTCAAAGTTTTTATTTTGTGAAATCTCAAGTTGTAAAAATTATGTGTTAATAGATATTATCTCGCACTGCACGTTTTGTGAGAACCGTTTCTTTCGCGGCCACTAGTGCTATATGTCATATGACACCAAATGCTCCCTCTGCATTCACGCCATGAAATAGATGTTCTTTTCTGCTATATTTTCATGGCTGTGATTGAAAAATGGATCGGGACTTGCTTTCATCTAGTGAGCATTGCAGAAGTTCACAAACCTGCATTTTATTCTCAACAAGGCATTTATTGATGCATAGTGTACCTTACCTGAGATTCATAGCCAGGTTCACATGATTTATTACCTTACATGAAGTTCAATCCAAGTGTTTTTCATCATTGTCCTGAGGCTCATGCGTTTATGTACTCCATAATATAGCTGAGAGGGTTTATGTCCCACGGGGTACTGCCGGAACGTACCCTGGGTACGGTCCGGTATACCGGAACGTACCCTGGTACTATATTATATGACGAACCGTACCTCGCCTACTCCACTAACGAGTCTAGGGAGTCGCCTACGCCTACTCCCTAACCCGAACCCGAACCCTAACCCTAATCTTAACCCTAACCATATCAAATAGTGACCAGGGTACGTTCCGGTATACCGGACCGTACCCAGGGTACGTTCCGGCAGTACCCTGGGGGACATAGACCCTATGAGCCATAATATACCTTACCAGGAACCCACAACCTAAATCAAACTAACCTGTGAACCATGGACAGTTGTGTCTCCTGATTTATCAGTGGGTATACCCGGAGAGACGTCTTTCTGACAGGCATCTGCTGTGTCAAATAGGTGCGCAGGCTCCTCAGAGATTTCCTACAAACAGTTACTAGATTAGCACCTAGGTGTACCTTAGTACTGTGTACATTAGTACATAGTGTACTTTAGCCTTAAAACTACCAACTGCAGCCAGCTCAATCTATAGCTTTTACTAAGCTAAAATATACTAAAATCCAATGTAACACAGTTCAGTTAATTAACGTTGCACTTAACCTATAACGCAATCCATACAACACTAATTCGTATGCCACTGCTGTTGTTAAGGTCACTGGCCCATTTACACTTTGCTAACTACTGCTGCTGATGAGATCTGTACATACGAGTAGATTAGTACTACGACTCACTGAGGCCACTAAAGAATGCGCCAATGAAGATGCTTGACTGCTGGTGGAAGACTTCGATTTTTGCAGAGCTTCAACATCAGTGGATGCCTCAGGGTCGACATGCAAGCTGTTGCAAGAAGAACACTTCAAAGACGGCATCGGCTCCGCTACCAAGGGCCACACGGAAGCTATGCTGACGTGACCTGTGCTAGGTGGCCGCTGTTGGCTGCACCTTTTCCTCGCCTCTTCTTCTTCGCGTGACATGGATACGGGAGGCACGTGGCCGGTCATGGGCCCATGACTGACTGGCAACGTTGGAGAATGAAGGGATGGTATGCATTGAAAAGGTGGAAGGGCCTCAGGCATAGTAGGCGCAGCAGGTAAACAAGTAGTGACTAATGGGTCAACTAAATGCGGCAGGTTATTGCTCTGCGGAATAGTTCCCCGTCCATTTTCCCCTGCTTGCTGATGGCATGAAGCGCTGCCAGCAATTGCAGCTGTGTTCAGTGGACATGTAGAACTAGAGTTAGGCGACAGCATTAACCTACGATCACTTGAATCTGGATAAACCAACGCTTGCTGGTAAGACAGGAGTCCACTTTCGCCATTAGGCGCCACTGCTGAGACAGGTACTGGTGCACAGGGTACGAGACTATCATGGCATTGCCAAGCAACCTCCAGTGAGGCAGCATTTGTTTGCGCTGGACCTGTACTGTGATAGCTTGTGACACATCCCCCTAAGGCAGGTGCTGGTATCTGACTTCTATAGCACCTGACAGGGTATATTGAAACAGGTGCTGGGTGGACTAGCAGCTGGTCACTATAGTGCCTGGCAGTTTCCATTGTGACAGCAGCTTGTGGAAGCTGACCGAAACAATTACTGTCAGTCTCCATTGAAGTCGGATGAAATTGTGATTGGTCACCATAGTTTCCATGCGCCTGGAGTGTGACAGGTGCCGCCTGGACTGGCGGTTGACCACTATTGTTGCTGGCAGTTGTCATAGTTGTAACAGCTGGCTGGACTGGTATTGGCTCACTATAGCTCCTAGCAATATCCACTGATGCAGAGCCTGGCTCGACCGGCAACTGACCAACATAGTTCATAAAAGTGCTAACTGATACAGGTACTGGCTTCACTGGCAGCTGCCTACCACTGCGTTTGGCTTCTTCCACTGCCTCAGCAACTGGCCAAGCTGGAAATTGCCTACTACAGCATAAGGCAGCCTCCATTGCCTCGGAAATTGGCTGGACTGGTAATTGACCATTATTGATACTGCAATGAGAAACTGAAGTAAGGAATGGTTTAACTGATAGTTGACCATGAGAGCTGCTGGCAGTCTCTACTGATACAGGGACAGGCTGCACTGGCAACCGACTGACATATTCATTGGCAGTCTCCATTGTAGGAACAGTTGGCCACACTGGCAATTGGTCGACATAGTTTCTAGTAGCGTACACTGAGAAGGGGACTTGTCCAACATTGGCAGTCTTTGCCGTAGCTACGTTTGGTTGTACTGGCAATTTACCACCATCGTTCTTTGTAGGATATGATGCTACAGAGACTGACTGGGCTGGCAACTCACTACTATGGCTTCTGACAGTATTCACTGAAACAGGTGAGCACACAGCACCAGGCACACAACCTGTTTCATGAGACAGATTTTCGTAAATGCCCTTGGTAGCTTTCTCTGCTAGACAATGTTCTTGCACTGCTCTGCAACTGGGAGTTTTGTCAGAGCAATTTCCATTTGAAAGAACACGTGTTTTATTTCTCACAGCCTCCATGAGCCGCATGTTGGTAGCCGACATCAGACTGGCTACATCGCTGTCAGTCTCATCTTCCTGATTCTTCGAATAAAATCAATGAAACCATGATTAGAAGTGGCCATTACCCCTATAGTACTATAGTAGTAGAGTACAGAATAGACAAGCTTAAAGCTATTGAAGTTGAATCGTATATCTATATTATAATATCTAGCGAATCATATCGAAGCATTACGAATTAACACAGGTAGATGACATACCACTGTCATATCTTGCATCAAATAACAAAGGAGTATTTTTTTAATTGCACCTACCAAGTAATCTATATGGATAGCAACAAATAGAAGTCATTCATCCAAGAAATCTATTCACTGAATCTTTTGACAATCTTACATATATAACCTTATATATATCAGGGTTTCTTATACATAAGAGGCACAGTGGCGCACCGCCGTTGTCAAATTTAACATCGCCGTTGTGAAAATGTTCCTGTATTTATTGATAAGTATATCCTGTATCTATATACCTATAAGTATATCAATACATCCTGTATTTGAATCCATCATGCGCAATTTTTTCCCAAACTGGCCATTACCTCCTTTGTCTAATTTTCCCTCGGAAGAAACCCTGTATATATACTGAAATATTTTCTGAAAATTTATTATATGATATCGGCTCGAAATAAGATAATTCACCAGGTTTAATTAAACAAACTAGCAATAATATAATGTATAATTATCTGCCAGTAGAGCAATCAGCCATAGACAGAATGATGAATATGAAAATTCGTTAAAATTGGTACCCTTGGAAATTCGGTGACATGAAATGTAGAGGATATGCTTCCAGGTGTGTCTAATATCGGGCGAGGTTGTTTCGAAGCTGCCTTGATAATCAGATCCATTACTGACAGCTGGCTCCCTATATCTGAGTCAGATTCAATGAAGCTGCTATCTGCCTGGTGTTGTTGCCTATCCTTCGATAACGGCCTATCCTTAAACTTTTAACAATCAGAAGTTTTGTGAGAAAGGTAACAGGACTATTTGATATGTAATTATGCAGTTCGATCAAAATAACTCTTAGATCATACTTATGGTTGGGCTCATTTGCCATTTTCCAAACATAGATATCACCTGAGTAGGATTTCCTCTATTTAAATATTTAACTATGGGAAACCCACGTGCAGTCTTAAGTTTATCTGTGGTATTTCACTTACAATTCAGTGTAGATAAAAAAATCTCACACCGACTATGTGGCACTGTATATAAGATTCAATAAGACTGATGTAATTTGGAATGTGCTATTATAATTAAGGTTTATAGAGCCATGTACATGCATGTGCATAATTAAACCAATAATTTTATATAACAATTGCATAGAAACCACACAAAAACTTACCAAATCTGGATTGTCAAGAATATCTACGTTGTTCATAGGTTTTCTTCTCTTTCTGAAAATTGAAAAGCCCTTTCATATGGGCAGGTGGATGCATGACCAGCACATGCATTTGTGCACATGCCACCAGATCTGTGTTCACGTTTGTATGAGATGTTTAATATTAACTCAATGAAAACGTGATAAAGATCGAGTACTTAAAAAAATATCAAACTGGAGAGTACACACAATAGCAATATACATGTTAATTAATGGTAACATTTAAGTATACAAACCTGTAAAACTTATGCTGGTGTAATGATTGCTTCTTAGGCAAGGTTTCCTCTCGCTTACGTCTCTGCACGAGGCAGCCAGGTATTTTAAATACCTGAAAGGTTCAATAACAAATCAGAGGCATGAAATCTTATTTATTATATCTATATATATATATATGAAAAAAAATTGTTTGACATATGTTTTGATTTGTCTTGACCAATCACTGACAAAGCAAGGCTGAAGTTATGAGAGATATGAGAAAAGACAACGAAGATATGAACTAATATGAGACACTCTATAAGATACCTACTCCTATATTGTCCCAATGTGCGTCAATAAAATAGTTTTGAACCTAACCTCACATTTTTGTCTTTTAATAATTTTCATGTTTTTTCATGAATACTATCAAGCATACAATAATCAATGTACTTCAATATCAGATTATGTAAATGTTTCTTTGATAGGCTATATAGTATTTTCAAACATAAATTTATAAACATTCTTGAGAGAAAATTAAAGGAACTTCGATCTATACAGTATAATTAATTGAGACTAATTTAAAATTAGAAGCATGAATAGTACACACCACATCTTTCTTGAACTGTAAATGTTCATTGACATCCTTGCATGCTGAAACAACAACAGGAACTAGATCATTTGAAGTAAAATAAAACTAACACAGTAACAGAATTTTTTTCTATAAGCCTGAAACTCATTTTGTAATAATTTGACACAATACTTTCAGCTGGGATGATGGTATCTTGAATTGTGTTGCTCCCCTCTTGCTGAGAAATGACTTCCACATTGATAATTATGACTCTATGGTAAGTCTGTAACATCTTCTTGTGATGCAGAAACACTATCTCTTGGGCAAGTCTCCACTTCTTACTATCTGTTTTTGTTAGTCAAGGCTTAGTTCCTTACAGTATTTGTGTATACAATAGTTACATGTACTATAGTTAGAACCACATATTAGGCTGAGAGTATAAATTTAAAGTTGACTATTAGTGCTTAATTGTGTAGGTATCTAAAAAGACATTTATTACAGACAAAATCACTAACAATTCATAGATTTTTCATAAAGGATACATGGGTAGATGACAAAGTGATCCGTTCTGAAGGGATACATATCTTCCTTCATATGAAGAGCAGCTCGCACTGCAACCTGTACAGTAATATAAGATAATGCTATATATTCATATATGCAATGCCTTAGATGCAGATGTCAATGAAAGTTCTGCCTTGCGCCATTATCATAATAATTCTTACGCTCATAGGGTCTATGTCCCCCAGGGTACTGCCGGAACGTACCCTGGTAACTATAGGCGTAGGCGACTCCCTAGACTCGTTAGTGGAGTAGGCGAGGTATGGTCCGGCATATTAGATATAGTACCAGGGTACGCTCCGGTATACCGAACCGTACCCAAGGTATTCGTTCCGGCAGTACGCTGGAGGACATAGACCCTCTCAGCAATTCTTACAGCCAACATGCAGTAGCAACACAACGTCAAGTATGAAGTTTTTGATGACATACACACCTCCATTTCCGACTGAATATCATTCTGAGAAATCTTCCTCAAACTGAAACGCCAAATAACACTTATTTACAGATTAAACTGTGATAGCAATTTTACAAGTCCCTATAGATATATTTGCAAAGAAAGTAAATCCACCATCTGCATTACATATCATATTTGTCATTATTTTATGTCCATATTGCTGAAGACAATGACAAAGTGACCATTTTATATGTAGGCCTAGTCACCTTAGACACCTTAAGTAAATCAAGTGGAAACAGGTTTTTACATCTCTCACTATGAATATCACAGACACAGGCCTGTGATGAGTATGAGTATGCTAATTTACCGACTACTTTCTCAGCCTTCAACATGATAGAATATAACACAGCATGCACAAATATTATAGATATTAATTGCTATTACTACTCATAATTACGAACTGATTTGGGAATATTTAGTTCACTCCATATATTATAGTACTACTAAGTACTATTATTAGATTAAACAAAGTATAGGTTCACCTGTCCTGTTGCGGTCCACGGAACACAATCTTCGCTTTGTAAATCATGTTTTTATGACGCACAATCATGGTGTTCGGAAAAGGCAATTTGAATTTTAAAGGCATCGTACCCTACTTTATAGGTTTTCAATTCGTAATCTCGCAGTAGGGGGCCTACGATTGCACCTGTAGGCCTATTTAATTGAGCTTAGACCGTAGGTGTAGCGACGGGAGGAGTAATTCCACCGGCACAGGAGCTAACTAAATTTCACTTCGCTATTCGACAAGGTGCCACGCAAATATAGAAGGATAGCGATAAGTAATCCATTAATAGAAATGAAATGGAATTAAGGAATGCGACCACGTCATATGTACTCATTAGTGAACTAACTACACATATATTATGAACTAATTTTTGAACTCAATACTACACGATAGCAGACGACAAAGAACGAATGCGTCCTCTGCGTTATGACACAACAGCGCCATCTAGTAACCATATATCTAACAGAGAAACTGGTTTTGTATTTTATTTAATTACTATGCAATTATGTGATATATACAAATAAAAAATCTACTGTAGTATTAATTTAGACGCATAACGTTAACTCAAGTTTTATTGTTAATTTGGAGGTAGGAGAAATCGGCCGCGACATCACCAGAGCTGACATTATTATACGTTGCGTTTTCATTCACTCCTGCCTACAAGTACAGGCCCGTAGGCAGCTTTATATTGGGGGGGGGGGGTTCGTTTTTCAATGTTGGAAATTTGCTCGGCAGGGGCGTGTACAGGATTTGTACCAGGGGGGGGTCTAACCGTAACCCAAAGTTGCGAGCACGCGAAGGGGGGGTTTTGGGGGCCCTCCCCCATGACATTTTTAAAATTAGACCCCTCAAATGCGTTTTCTGCGCGAGCAAGGGGGGGTCCAGACTCCATGGGCCCCCCTGTACACGCCCCTGCTCGGGCGCAAAGCGACCAGGCGCGGGAGCCAAGCGACCGAGCAGGGGGAGGGTGTGGGAAGGGGGGTGTTCACTGTTCACCCTCCCGCACGATGGAGATTTTGCAATTATTACACTAAAATGGAGCGACCTGAGGTGAAATTCTTGCAAATTTTCAACAAATATATTTTTTTGCTTGGGGGCTTGGGGGGGGGGGTTCGTTCGAACCCCCCGAACCACCCCTGGCTACGGGCCTGCGCCTATATGTATAAAGTATGTATATATGTAAATATGTATAACAGAATGTATAAATTGTTCTCAGACGAAGATGACATACGCCGTGGGCCTATGTGCTCTTGATACCACTAATCAGTAATAACATGTGTTTGTATACCCAGGTTTTCACAGTATTCTCTTTGGGATGATAACACTCGGCAGGAACAAGTTCGTTATCGCATCATACCATTGTCTTTAATTCACTCGTGTTAAAACCTTCAGGTGACATTATTAAATATTTCTACTGATGTACATGAGGCACCACACCACCGGGATGATCAGAGACATATAAGAGTTTATCGCAGAAAACACATTATAAGCAAATATTCGCAACTGTACAGAATATGTGAAAATAGCAACCTATATTTCTGTCAGGTCAAGTCAAATGCATACAATTAATGTTTACAATAAAACGTTACACGGTATTCACATAACGTTTAATGAGTTTTAAAACGTCACCATAAACAACTAAACTTCATGAAATGCACAACAGTGGACAGGGAAAAACGGGCTCGATCACATAAATATTGCCATTAACGTTAAGATGGCAACATTACCTTCACTGCAGGAGTGAAAGAAAGCAAAATGGTTTTTATTCACCACTGGTCATTTGGCAACAAAGCCAGCCAAGCCATGAACAATGCATATAAAAAGCGCTGCCTTCCATATATGCAATTTTAAATTAGTAAGTCATAATTACTCATATTTACAAAAATTCAAAAAGATGACAAAATTGTCAGTTGTGATAAATTACACATATAGCTCAAACATCGTTACAATACAAACATGCAAATGAGCAACATGGTTCAACGCTTGTGGTACTGTACTGTCAAATGTTATTTTAGGTTCCTACAATCCAACACATGAATAAGCTAGTAAGTGTGATTGTACATGTCAATATTAGAAGATCACGCTGGTTTGACAGCCTATGTTTCATATCTGAATGGTTATCTATACAACATTCTAAAAATTTTCTATCATCAGCAATGTACTTGTATAGTAAAAATTTACCTCCCATACTCCGTACAATGGCTTCTGTTTAAAAATTTATATAGCACACTAAATACAAATGAACACGCTTGTGATTTTTACATTTTTTCATACAAACGTAGATAATGACTGCATATTTGAGGCGCAACAATACACACCATGCAGTGACCATTAACTTTTGGAACATATAACAGTAAATTTTTGCAAAAAAACACAAATGAGAGAAAGGGCACGCATATTACTTTCTTGGGAGAGAGTAATATGCACGTTAATTCAGATTAGACAAACTTTAATAGCTTGTTCTAGTGATAGTTTATAAATAAGTATGTTTTTAAATCCATGACAATGGGTCTTAAAGAATGTACAGTACTACTACTAGAAACAAATTACAGCTAGGGGTCCTATACGATAATGAATTGTTATGTTATCCGGCAGAGCATTCTGGGAATTGGGCGCGAACAGGAGGCGAATAAAGATGACTCTCAGTAACACACAACTCTGTGTATCATCTATCAATGACAGTATTTGTTCCCTTCCTCGCCTCACAACGAAGTCGCTACACCTATAATAAGTGGGGTATGCTAGCGGTAAAAAGTAATAAGTAAGGTATTTCATCAACTTCCAGTGTTAGCACTGAGGGCAACTTTTGGAGCCTTGTTCGAAAAGAAGTATCATATCAGCCAGGAAACTCTGTAAAACCTTCCCAATAAATTCACTGCTCTCTTGGCTGTTTTAGAAATGTTCAAAATTGAAAACGAATTGGTAGAAGTATTTTTTTACTGCAAGTTACAACAGCAAAGAATATTTTTTCTTTACAATTCCTTCCTTTATCATAAAATATACACATTGTAGATTTCTATATCCATTGTGATCACGAAATCTATACCGGTTAATGCAGTAAACTTTAAATACAACACAAAAGCAATCATTTCTGTTCTAAGAAAGCATCCTTTCTACCTGTGAATCATAACTGGTAGTACATGAGATCAGTACCTATATTGCAATGTCAGTAAAATCAGTCTAGTAACAATCATTTGTGAGAAAAGATGCAAGTTTAAATGCATACTGGGGGGCTCTTAGAATATAGAATTATTACCTTATTACTTTGAATGTTGCAGGATAGCCTTTGAGGTTCAACAGAAGAGTAATCGTGAACACCATGTATAGATGGGCTGTTTTATGGCGTGACACAGCAGCTCTCACAACACAGAAATTTTGGCTTGTAAAAACTATACGAGGATAGCACTACTCGCGACGCAAGTCGTCCAAGCGGGCCTGGAGATCAGCATCTGCGTCGCTTACTCCTGCTGCAGCTGCCTGCTTTGCTGGCGGCGCTGCTGTTGATGCTGCTAGTGATCCACTTGCCTGAGGCAAACCTGTCACAGAGGCAAGAAAATTGGTTATGGCAGTTGAGGTTCTTTAAGAAAGACTTGTACACTGTAGAAATGTGCCATTTTTGGAATTGATTGGTGCAGAGTATCCAAGTTTTCTATATATGTGTACACCCGCGCTGAAACTATAACCACTCTGGCCTTCCATCACATAACCATATGACCACATTTATCAACATTAAGGCCTTAAAACCATGCACACCAGTAAAATAAATGCAAGTAATCAAAGTCACGATAAATCAAGTTAGCTTTCGGTAGGTTATACTTACAATTTTTCGAATAAAGAAAATAAATTTATAGATATCTGTAGGCTATTGCCTATATACTACAGACAAGCACCTCAACTATTTTTAGTTACTAAAACCCTGTTGCAACCAAAGAGATCAATTATAGCATTTATGTACAACCAGGTGAACAACAAAATATACAAGACAAACATTTAAACAATCATACCTGAGAGTTCATCTGTAATCTGAAGTCCAAGCTCATCTAGAACTTGCGATACTATTGCATCACTGCAAACAAGTAAAACCCAGTGAATAAGGTACAACTAAATATATATATTTCCCAAATCAAAAATAACAATGCTATTCTACCATGAACAAACCCTGTAAATAAGGGGAAATTAAAAACATGCATAATGGAAATCAAAAACAAGGAGATTATTCTGCCATACACCTATTCCAATGAGTTAAAACACTACTTTATAAGTCAGAATGCTGACTTACAGAACAATAAGAGAATGACACAACATTACTATACCAAGCAAACAATAAAAGGTTACTATCTATGGCATCACCCCCTTTCACAATATAAATTTGTCAATCAGCATGAAGTTCTCACCTCTCCTCTTCATCCTCTTCGTCACCCATTGCATCATCAATAACATCATTCATCATCTCCTCTTTCATATCCATGATTTCAGATTGCTTCTCAAACTCCATCATTATTTTCTGGATCTGCGGTAGTTTCATCTGTAATAGTTTCATAAGACAACACATATAAGCATTTCAGCTAGAAATACTTGCTTAGAGATAAGAGCAGTAACTTTGCACAAGACTGCGAGTAGTATGGGTAATTCTCAATCCACACGAATCTGATTTACTCATTATTAGGATAATGAATTGCAGTGGATTTGTGAGCGGTCAGCTGATACCTGTTTTAAATAGTAAGAGCTTATATTTCGCACTACGCGATTACCAAGAAGCGACCACCAACAAACATAATTTGGCTGGAAGCAAAGTGGCGTTAAGTTGCCAGCGATGTACGAGAAGCCAATGTAAGCATTGGGTAGGTATTTAGTTTCCTGTCTTTCTGTGCCTAGTGCATGGACACAGCTTAGTTGCATAGTGCTATAATATTTAGTGCCAATATTCGACGTGTTTTCAAATTTTCTGCTATGTGGATGCTGTAGTTTTCATCGTTGGGTATAGTTTCATTGAGAACCTAATTCCCTCACCTCCACTATTTATGTTAGTTGAGTTACGCATTTTCATTTACACAGCTATATATTTAAAAAATTCAAATATTGCGTCAGTTGAGATTTACCTGTAACAATATTGAGGATTACCAGCATATGGAATGGATGTCAAACAAGTTTACTCTAATGATTACAATGCCACTGAGTATACACAAAGGAGAATCTAAGACCACACATTGTTGTTGAATACTCTTGTAACTATAACAGTTTAGGTAAACAAATTTAAAGTCATAATACACACACCTGTTTATTCATACTTGTCATAGCTTTGGTAACACCTTTCATCGCCTGCGCCATAGCATTTTGTGATTTTAGTGTCTGGATCTTTAGTGACACTGCTTGTATGTTAGCCTTCATTAACATGAATTTCTTGACATATCTCCGTGTTCTTACCAAGTCTTTTGCCATAATTTTTACTGCGTCCTGAAACATACACATACAGCATTTTCTGAACAGTTCCTGAGCACAGATAAGATTAAATCTGTTGCATGACCAAGTTTTACACAGTGTGCATATTACAACACCCCAGAGTTTACAGCATCTTCAATCACCAGATATAATACCAATTTAACCGAAAGAATAATAAATGTATTATTTCATTGGTATCTGTTACATTTCTGAGTGTGCACGCATTTGCACATGTAGGATCGGTAATGTGTTGAGCGTTCTACATATGATATATATATACCATCTGGTTCTGCTTTGCCATCTTTTTTATGTCTGCAATAATCTTTTTTTCACTTTGTTCCATTTTCTGCCGTTCTCGATCAAGTTCACGCATTGCTTTATTAAGCGCCCTCTGGTTTTGGCGAAGCAGTTCCTCCGGTGTTTTCTTTCGACCAAACAACCACTCCATGATCAAAAATACACAATTTCTGTAACATTAGAAAATCTTTAAATTAGTAAATTACTCTAATACAGTGGTACCATATACAATTTATGATTTATTCTATCACATGAAATTACAAGAAGTGTGTGGAACAAATTATTCTTCAATGGGGGTGGCAGGGGGCAGGTAGACACATGCACGCACGCTCTCATCACCTGTTAGCACGTGACGCAACGCAATGCATATAAAGATGAAGTAGATGAACGGTAGATGGCAGCACGCAACAGTGAACGTGAAATGGTGAAATATGAAGCGGTGTAATCATGCTTTTCGGTTAAAAACCCAATATCAACGTTTGTTGAGGTAATTGACTGCGGATACCAAGTAATATGTGCGTAAATGACGCGCGCAAATACGACGAGAAATGTGAGGGCCGCAGCACACGGAATATAAGTGATATCACGTGAAATACGCGAGCGTTGAAATGGTGAGAAACAGTCAAAATCAGGCGAGTACCCACGGTTAAGAACGTTTTGTCCCGCCTTTTTGACAGCAAAGGGCATATTTCTTGCTAGAAATTATTAGACAACACCTTGAAGAAGACCTCTGTCAAATTTAAATGGTCTACCCCGACATTTACGAAAGTTACGATATGGGTGTTTAATCACTACTCAGACCGGTATGCTCAGCCTAGCTCTAGTACTATACCCTGCATACAGTTGCCGCAGGGCTATAGAACATTATATTACGAATATTCGGGACCAACTTATTTATGGTTACTCATGGCTATAAAACGTCTGTGGTAGGTAATTAATGCCTCTTATCCGAAGTGAATATGTCTTAAGTTATATCCGCTACTAAAATTTAACCTCTAACTATCGTTGAAATGGTCTACTTGCGGTATTTCTTGTGAACGAACATTATTTACGAATTTCAAACGGCCATTCTCTACACCCATGACGGTCTACACTTAAACAGGAAGGGAGGAGATCGACTGGCTGGAAACTTCGTAAAGTTCATCAGGAAAACTAGAAGGTTGGGGCCTCAAGGCATCAGATGAAGCACAGGATACATCAATCGTGCTAGCGTCTGAGGAACCAATCCCTAGGATCTCCAAGCTGACTACACTTCAAGACCCGGCAGATAAGTTTCAACGAGACACAGGATTAATAATAACCGGAGTAGACCCATGCCACCGAGACTCATCAAAATTCAGTTTTTCCCAAAAGAAAAGTCTACATTTCATTCATTTAAATGCTCGCAGTATCCTTCCTAAAATAGAAGAAATTAGATATATTGCTATGCAAGCTAGGGTTGCAGTGATTGCGGTATCTGAGTCCTGGCTAGATGATTCAGCTGATGACTCTGAAATTAAAATTGAAAATTATAGTGTAGAAAGGCGGGAGGGATAGAGATAGATCAGGTGGTGGGGTGTGTATTTTCATCAGGAATGATTTAGCATATAACATAAGAACTGATATGGATAAAGTGGGGCTAGAAGCTAGTAATAGTAGTATATGGGTTGATATATTACTACTACTACTACTACTATAGTCTATTACTACCAAGAACAAAACCAATATTGACCGGGGTATGCTATCGCAGTATCGACCACCAAAACAAAGCAACTTCTTCTAACTATTGGAAAATATTAGTATAAATGCACTCAAAATTAGTCAATCGGGCATCATAGCCAAGAGAGTGAGTGATCATATTTTAACTTACTGCACTAGGAAAACTTCAAGACAGGTTATAGGTAACGATAAAACTACGAGAATGAGGACCCGAGCGATATTTCAGCCGCTTGGTGGTGCTGCAAGAAACTCCGGTTTAGACTGGTACTCGCTCCCACCTCGATTACTCGATTACCTAAGCCGATAGGTGGGACCGGGTACCAGTCTAACTCCGGTTCTGCTCCGGTCGCTGTTCGCTTGTTTGCTTGTTTGTTGACATTTGGTTGACATAGTCATAGTCACATGATAGTGTAACACTGATCTTCTATAATATAATACTATTATCTATTATCTATATCTTTATCATTATCTATTAATATAATCTATATCTAATATAATAGATTATATTATAGAGATCAGCTGTATGTGTACATCGTAGAGCAGAACACTTAATATCAACGATACAGGGGCGGCGCCACAGGGGGGGGGGCAGGGGGGGGGGGGCGGTCGCCCCGCCCTATCATTTGCAAGAAAAAGGAAGAAGAAGAAAAAGAAAAGAAAGAAAAAAAGAAAAAGAAAAGAAAAAGAAAGGAAAAGAAAAGGAAAGAAGAAGAAGAAAAAGAAAAAGAAACATCTTGCAAATGTTTGCAAATGATGGGTGGGGTGGGGGGTCACCCCCCCGCCCCCATCATTTGCAAGAAAAGGTAAAGAAGAAGAAGATTCCTGCAAATAATAGGGGATCGCCCAAAAATGATGATGTAGGCCTACAAGCTGGACGCACTTTTCATACGAAAAATGCGAAAAATTAAGTGTCGAATTCATTCCATATAAAACGCTGTGATTAATTTGATAATCGATGTCAAGGTGTTATTTCCTTGGGAGTCCAAGTTGGGACCATCATTTGTCGATGATGCTGTTTCCCGGCGGAAAGGTAGGCACACTTAACAACTTGCGGTGTTACAACTTATAAATTATAATTACGACGTTCAGACTGACGCTCTAATATTCTCTACATGCTATCTTATTTTTACCTCCGCCCACGAGTGGAGGGAGTTATCGTGATGCGGGTCCTGTGCGTTCGTGTACTACTTAGCGGCGCGCCGGGGGAGTCGCGCGCGCCTGCGTGCGTGCGTGCGTGCGTGCGTGCGTGTGTGCGTGTGTGTCGTGTGTGTGTGTGTGTGTGTGTGTGTGTGTGTTTGTGGTTTGACGCGATTGATATTAGCGCGTCAGCGAGGCTGAGCAGCAGCCACCAGCCGGCTGCTGCTGACTCGAGGGCGGCGAGCGAGCATACATGTACGGCTGGCGTATATCGTGGGTTATTCGTGTGTTTGTGAGTTCGTTATGTCGGCTGGCGGAGGTAGGCTCCTCTCCGTGAGATGCCCTCTTGTCTAGTTTTAGTTAGTGTGTGTATGCCGAAATCCTAGCTAGTTGCCGGAGACCGCCATTTTCGAAATAGCGTGCGGGTTCAGAGTCATACCAATATTCCAACAAACATTAGTTCAGAGACGCACCATTTTCAGGTCTGAGTTTAGTTCGCAGAGCCGCCCCCCCCCATGTATACGCGGAACAGTGGGCACATACGCAGATATCCTACGGCATATATGTGGGGTGAGTCTTCCCGCCCCCCAGGGGTTTGAATCTCCTTGGTATATGTTGGCTCCTTGGTTCCGACTGCACAATTTTTTGTCAGCAAATTTGGAGGCTTTGATTAGCTAAACTCTGAGAACTTCCCCGGACCCCTGCCAGGGGCTCTGCGGCCTGGACCCCACAGGGGCACTAAGGCGGGCCTGGGCCGGATTGCATGCAACGTTGCCGCGAAAAGTGTATTGCGTACACATTTTCTACGAAGTAGTACGCCAAGCTCGTAAGGTGGCGATTTCATTCACGCAGGCGTGCCTGCGCGTACGCAAATGTATTGTGAATTCCAGGTGTAAAGTCGCACTACGCCATTCGGTAGCTGCTGGAGCTGTTTGAGGGGCATGCCTAGCATAAACCAATAACGCTCTGCGACACGCTACCATAATCAACCAAAACTGACGCCTCTTTTGTAGTGTATAAACATATGTGCTACTAGCTGTCTACAGGAGTGCTGGGGAATGTGAATAGGTTTGTCCTCATTTTCGGTTTGTATGATTGTGTTCAAGCACTGCGATGTAAAGCTAGCGACACGTACGCGTGCGTGCGCGTGCTGCGTGTGTGAACGTCGCTACGTGTGCGTGACGTTACACGTGCTGCGCCGTACACGTGCGTGCTTGCTACGTACACGGGCGTGTTGCGTGCGTGCATGTGTCAGTACACGTGGCGTGCTTGTGGTGCACGTACAATGTGCGCTGCGTGTGAGTCAGTGCGAGTGTGGCACGAGCCGGCTAATCTAACGAACTTCCGCTTATAACCGAAAACAAGTGCAAGCTATGACAAAAAAAGCGTCAAAGGCGGCGCCTGTCTGTGTATATGGTATGATTATTTACTTTATTTTTAGTTTGAGTCGAGTAACTTTATACATGTTTTCTAAAATAAAATAATGTATTCTGGCGGTATGCTGGAAACACCTGCGGAAATTTTCGAGTGGTTTTACGGCACCTCGTCAGCTCGTCGTAAAGTAGGCAAAGGTTTACGTAAATTTTAGCTTGATGAATCGCACCTAAAACGGCCTCGCTTGCGGTAGCGAATCATACGAAGAATTTCTAAATAGCTGTGTTGGATGAATCGCAACTAAGCAACGGTCGATTGCGCACATTAGATTTACGCAAAATATTTTGGCGTACGCGCAGGGGCTTAATTGATGATCATGAATGCTACCCCTGGACTCCACCGCGTCAGTGCAAGCGCACACGGTAATCAGTCTACAGTTCCAGGGGCGTGTACAGTGGGGGTGTCAGGGGGTCGCGACCCCCCGCCTGTCTCGCGCAGAAAACGCATCTGAGGGGGTCTAATTTCAAAAATTCCTGGGGGAAGAGCCGGCCCAGACCCGCCCCGTTCGCAGTGCGGTCCTTTAGCACGGCGCCGGGTTTGCCCGCGCTCCAGAAAATACGCCTGGCGCCGCGCCCTTGAACATATATGTTATCAATGTTGTAGTATACGTATCTGCGGTATACTTTTACTGGACTTCAGCAACTAACTCTCACCATTAATGAACTGGAACAAAAGCGAATAGGCTAGCTGGAAAAACAGTGTAAAGCTAATGATAAAGTACTCCCACTCTGTGGACTAAGAGAGCGATCTGGCAGGCCGCGGATATACACGGCGAAGCGCGAACAGGCCGATCGGTCGTTGCGCCTTTTCATGCCAAGTTCGCTGCCCCTCTATGTAGAACTAACTACTCGAAGCCGGCTCTGGGTACTAACAGAAAGCCGATAATCGGTCAATTGAGGCAGTTGCTGTGCGATTGGTCAGAAGCCTTTCGACTCTGCACGTAGGGCGAGAATAAATGCGCAATGGTTGTATTGCCTAATGTTTTTTGGTTGGCGGGTGCGTTAGGTTTTCGTCATAGAAAAGCGATTTCTAATTATTTAATTAACGCCTGACGATTAATTCTGCGTAGCCATATCGGCGGTCGCCATTAGATTGGCGCGAGAGGCTCTCTTCGAGGGCTTTTCCCAGAGAATTTTCCTTAGACTCGCCCGCGGTGGAGAGTTTGACAGACGCTCCACCTAACTATAACTTTAGTGTAGGCGAAAGATACTTGGCGCGAGTTAGGCCCTGTAGCGAGTCTAGGGCTGGAGTCGTGCCCGTGGGCCACAGCCATCCTTAGTTCCCCCGCAGGCCTGACTGATTGCATGGTTGTTTAGCCCTGAGAATTCTTGGTCGAGTTCCGGATAGCAGATCCAAGGCGATGATGCAATATGGATTTGATATGTCCTCTTGACCCCCGTACCATGCGGTGGCCCGTGGCGAACGGCACGTCGTGCGAGCCGTGCTGGCGGTGGCCTGTGGGAGTATTTTAGCACCGTCGCCTAAATCTACAAGCACGCGGCGGCACACTGACCAACACAATTTATATATATGCAACATAACCGCGTGCGCTAGAGCTGAGCCGAGAGCGAGAGAGAGAGAGAGACAGACTGCGGGGAGTGCGGAATAGAGAGAAAGATAGTGGAGAAACGCCAGATAAATGGTAGCGAAAATACGGCGGTGACGGTACGGACTGTGGCGAGGATGTACCAACGCGTGTCAAATGGCCCTATAATCGGAAAAGCCCCGCCTCGAAAGCCGATTGTAGCCGAGCCGATGTACGTGTCCGCAAAACTCCGGGGCGATGATTACGCTGCCCGCTATATCGCATTCGCTGCGCGGTTAGTGCGGGCCTTCGCTTCGGCGCGCGAATTGCGTCATAGCGGGGAGCTTACGCATGAAAATCCCGCGGCCGGCGTTGCGCCCAGTCGGCCCCGCGGGAAGTGCGGCGGCTTAACCGCTTTCGGCGGTCGGGGAACAACGCATCTTTTGCGCAAGGCCATCTTGTATCCGGTCTCTCTGGACTGGCATACGTAGCCTGCGGCAACTGGACTACTACTACTAGTACTACTACTGCTACTAGAGCTAACCCATACGCAGCATACGGCAGTTATTAATCGTGCCTAGTTGCAATGATGCAGATTAAGTACACGTCATTTGAATGCAGTAGATTATTTACAATAGGAAATTACTGATGACGTAGCTATGTGAATTTATCACTTATTTGGTTATCTGATTACCTATTCTGGTACATAATAAACTATAGAGTTCAGTGTGCTCTAGCCATAAATTACCTTCTCTCTTCTAACTACATGGGTAATTTACTAAATTACTTACCTTCTCTAAATTTACGATGTAAAACAGTTGTAGAGCGTAGTCAGGCGAAGTGTGCCGCAGCTTATGTACAGTTGGATCTGGATAAGGGTTAGCCTTTAATTTTGTAATATTTCTTTTAATAAATATTGAATGGGAATATATATACTAATTACTATGATAGTCTGTACTTGGAATTAAAATTACAAACGCACTGTTGTATATATTTGGCACACATACAAATACACATATATACAGGTAATCATTATTGATCTTGATATGTACGTCGAGAAGCCTCAATAGGCGAATTACGATGGGTGGGAGAGCGCTAAAAGACCTTAGTGTCGAGGTGTCAGGATCTTCAGCAGAGATGAGTGCTTCCTCAAAGAGTCAAGGTGATTCCACTCGCAAACTGTCCTCACGAAAAATGAGTTCTTACTGTTCAGTATGACTGAACGGAACTTTGAAACACTTCGAGTGATTTATATAAACTGATTGTTCTACTAAGTTTATGGTTTCGTACTCGCGTAGATGACCGGTTTTGATTTTTCGGCGGGTTTTGCGGATAGCTTCCAAGAATTTATCAGGGTGCAATGCTGGGACTGAACCCTCAACCACCCTGTACATAAACACTAAACGCGATTCCTTCCTTCAGGTTTTGAGACGTGGAAGGTTTAGAGAGTGTAACATAAGAGTAACACAGCCATGATCGTGGGATGCATAGTCCCTTGTCATAAACCTTGCGGCTTGGTTTTGTATACGCCCCATAGCCTCCAAGCTATCAATATCTGACCCGTAGTATGGATCCCATACTACTACACCATATTCGAGTTTCGAACGAACTAACGCTAGATATGCCATACGTAATTACCTCCGCCAAGGAGGTAATGTAATCGGTCTTGTGTGTGTGTTCGTGTGTGTGTTCGTGTGTGTGTGTAGCCACTAGTGTTCGCTCGATCGATTCAGCAGCAGCTCGCCTTAGGGCGTCGAGTCAGCAGCAGCTCGCCTTAGGGCCTCCAGTCAGCAGCAGCTCGCCTTAGGGCGTCCAGTCAGCAGCAGCTCGCCTTAGGGCGTCCAGTCAGCAGCAGCTCGCCTTAGGGCGTCCAGTCAGCAGCAGCCAGCAGCGAGCCAGCTGTTATACACATACATGTTACATGCTGGCGGAGGTATGCACTCGCCGTGAGTGCCCTCTGTCTAGTTATATATTTGAGCTAGAACTTGTGCCTAGTATTGATGACAGTTTGTGGGGTTACAAGCATGTTCCTTGCACAATGTGGGAATTTCACTTCTAACACGGTGTCCTTATTCATGCACAAGACCATCTGGCAGACTGCCCAGGTAATGTTCATCTATAGAAATAATTATTCCACTTTTTAGCTCATCTGACGTAGACGTTTCGGCGCATATGTGAACACATTTTGGACTAACAGGGTTTACTAGAATCCCACCACTCCACCACAGAGTCACCGCAGTAGACGTCAGATGAGCGCTGTCGCTCCGCGGCACTTGTTTGTACTTTCACATATATAGCTTCTCATAGCAGGTGATCGCATCTGGTTCCGGTCGATTTCCGTGTGATGTTGCGTTGACGACTGCATTCTATTTCTCCTCTCCTTCTTTCGCTCCACACTCTTGCTTTGCATTCTTGTTCGGGACTCGATGACATCTGCCTTTTCACGTGATATTTTAATTATATTATTTCTTTCCAAGAACATTTGTGGTAGTGGTTTAATAAGATAGTCATGGACTTAGTGATGGGAATCGATTAGAATTTCATCATCGATCTTCGATTGCACCCAACCGATTGATGATCGAAGTCGAAGGTATTCGGTTGAATGTTATTGATTGCGGCTATCAGATATATCATATATCATATAATACAGCATTTTTGATAATACAATATTCTAAACGCTATGTAACAGTGTTATACTGTATTACACGTTTATGTTTGGTGTAGGTTAGATTCACTGTCTCCAAGCTGTAAAGTAACAAAAATAAAATAATGTGTCATTTTATCTTTATATTAATTTTTTTTTAATTATTATTATTTTTGATAATTGATTATTTATTTTCATAACCGAGCGCTAAACAATTTTCTCCACCAGCTTCTCCCCCTCCTCCTCTACCAGCTTTTCCCCCTCCTCCACCACCTTCTCCCTTCTCCCCCTCCTCTACCAGTTTCTCCCCCCTCCTCCTTCTCCACCACCTTCTCCCTTCTCTCCTTCCTCCTTCTCCACCAGCTTCTCCCCTTCTTCTCCACCAGCTTCTCCCTTCTCCCCCTCCTCCTCCACCAGCTCCCTTCTCCCCCTCCTCCTCCACCAGCTCCCTTCTCCCCCTCCTTCTCCCCTTCCTCCTTCTCCACCAGCTTCTCCACCTCCTCCTTCTCCACCAGCTTCTCCCCCTCCACCACCTTCTCCCTTCTCCCCCTCCTCCTTCTCCACCAGCTTCTCCACTTCCTCCACGACCTTCTCCCTTCTCCCTTCACCAGCTTCTCCCCTTCCTCCTTCTCCACCAGCTTCTCCCCCTCCTTCTCCACCAGCTTCTCTCCTCCTCCTCCACTACCTCCCTTCTCCCCTTCCCCCTTCTCCACCAGCTTCTCCCCTCCTTCACCAGCTTCTCCCTTTCCCCCCTCATCCACCAACTCCCTTCTCTCTCTCCTCCCCTTTCTCCTTCTCCACCAGCTTCTCCCCCTCCTCCACCACCTTCTCCCTTCTCCCCTTCCTCCTCCACCAGCTTCTCCCTTCTCCCCTTCCTCCTTCTCCACCAGCTTCTCCCCTCCTCCACCACCTTCTCCCTTCTCCCCTTCCTCCTCCACCAGCTTCTCCCTTCTCCACCAGCTTCTCCCTTCTCCCCTTCCTCATTCTCCACCAGCTTCTCCCCCTCCTCCTTCTCCACCAGCTTCTCCCTTCTCCCCTCCTCGTCCTCCACCAGCTCCCTTCTCCTTCTCCTCCCCTTCCTCCTCCACCAGCTTCTCCCCCTCCTCCTTCTCCACCAGCTTCTCCCTTCTTCCCTTCCTCCTCCACCAGCTCCCTTCTACCCCTCATTCTCCCCTTCCTCCTTCTCCACCACCTCCCTTCTCCCCCTCCTCCTTCTCCACCACCTTCTCCCTTCTCCTTTTTCCACCAGCTTCTCCCCTTCCTCCTTCTCCACCAGCTTCTCTCCCTCCTTCTCCAACAGCTTCTTTCCTCCTCCACCACCTCCCTTCTCCCCTTTCTCCTCCACCAGCTTCTCCCCTCCTCCTTCTCCACCAGCTTCTCCCTTCTCCCCCTCCTCCACCAGCTCCCTTCTCTCCCTCCTTCTCCCCCTCCTCCACCAGCTTCTCCCTTCTCCCCTTCCTCATTCTTCACCAGCTTCCCCCCTCGTCCTCCACCAGCTTCTCCCCTCCTTCTCCACCACCTTCTTCTTTCTCCCCTTCCTCATTCTCCACCAGCTTCTCCCCCTCCTCCTTCTCCACCAGCTTCTCCCTTTTCCCCCTTGTCCTCCACCAGCTCCCTTCTCCCCCTCCTTCTCCCCTTCCTCCTTCTCCACCAGCTTCTCCCCCTCCTCCACCAGCTTCTCTCCTCCTCCTCCACCACATTCTCCCTTCTCCCCTTCCTCCTTCTCCACCAGCTTCTCCCCCTCCTCCTCCACCAGCTTCTCCCTTCTCCCCCTCCTCCTCCACTAAAAGCTGGTGGAGAAGCTGGTGGAGGAGGAGGGGGAGAAGCTGGTGGAGAAGGAGGAGGGGGAGAAGCTGGTGGAGGAGGAGGGGGAGAAGGGAGAAGCTGGTGGAGGAGGAGGGGGAGAAGCTGGTAGAGAAGGAGGAAGGGGAGAAGGGAGAAGCTGGTGGAGGAGGAAGGGGAGAAGCTGGTGGAGGAGGAGGAGAAGGAGGAGGGGGAGAAGCTGGTGGAGAAGGAGGAGGGGAGAAGCTGGTGGAGGAAGAGGGGGAGAAGGGAGAAGCTGGTGGAGGAGGAAGGGGAGAAGGGAGAAGGTGGTGGAGGAGGAGGAGGGGGAAGGTAGAATGTGGTGGAGGAGGAGGAGGGGGAGAAGGGAGCTGGTGGAGGAGGAAGGGGAGAAGGGAGAAGCTGGTGGAGGAGGAGGGGGAGAAGCTGGTGGAGAATGAGGAAGGGGAGAAGGGAGAAGCTGGTGGAGGAGGAGGGGGAGAAGCTGGTGGGGGAGGAGG